GAGACTGGAACTGGGATGAGAAACCAAGGGGGATTTGGGATGAGAAGCTCAGGGGAGAGAGATGGGACAGGCTGGGTAGAAGCATTCAGACTTGGGGGAAAACAGGGCAGAAGCGTCTATACCCGCTAGAGCACAATCCCCTCCAGAGCCTGGAATGGACCTCAGGATTCCAGAACCTCACCATTCCTCTGCTGTCTGCAAATATCTGCGAAACCCTCTGGCAAAGTGTATGCCTCATCCCCCTCTAAGGCTGGTTCACACAGAGGATGACGACCTAACTACTACCACTATCAGTTACTCCATTAGCTCAAGTGGCAGAGGGCTGTGTAGTGGGTGATGAACCATATGGGTGTCAATATGATACCATACAATGTATTTTTTTTTCAGTTTCAACCTTAATTCGGTCCCCTGGTGGGTCTGCATTATGATACAGACTTTAATTACATGATTACACACTATTTTTTCCACAGGACCCATGCTTCTTCAGTGTGTGTCTTGGAAAAATGTATCCCTATACTGTATATGCAGAAGAGAACTTACTCATTTTGTAAGTGACATTTCTGTCAGTGACATTCTAGTTTTAAAGTTCAGCAGCAGGGGGCGCAGCAGCCAGCTGTCTTTCATAAACTACAGCCAGACAAACAGAAACCACTAGAGGCCAACGTATCACCAGGTTTTTATCTCAATCACTGGATAAAATTGTCTGAAAGATATAGAACTAAGGAAGTTTCATTCTTCTTTAGACTGCAAATTACTAGTGCTACTTAAGAGTCACTTCGCTGTTTGCAATAACCACCTTAGGAGAGATCCTAACTATTTTTCTTAAAATGGGACATATGCAGTTGACAGAGTAATGCATCAAATAGTTATTACCTTCTTCTGTTAAGAAGGTGGAGGACCAAAGTGCAGGAGTATTATTCTTGTACTTTGTATCACAGGATGGTTTTAAATTTTGGTAGCACTGACATTTGTTATTGGTAGGAAGTATGCAGCACGACTATTAATCTGAAAAACGGTGTCACATTACAGAGTATTGAAAAGGACTCAATGAAGAGCTGCCAAATAACAGCCTTTAAATTTCCCAGGGAAATATCCTTGGATGTAGCATGTGAAATTTCAGGGGGAATAATTTGTTTCTGTGGGACTGAAAAAGGAGGCTCATAATGGGAAGCTGGTTTCTCATTTAAAATATAGAGGCAGATGGATCCCTCCATAACTGAGTTTCATTGGTTGTATCTGTGAAAGTTCTAACTTACATAAGTAAATTTTATAGGGATTTAAAAGATTACAGGCCTCTGTGTTCAATACATTTCTGATAAAGCTTTCTAAATCTATTACCTTAGTAGCTTATCCATTTTTCCACATGAAAACTGATTGAAAATATACTGTATTGTCTATTAAAACTTAACCTTAAAATCTGCCAATCAGTTTAAAGATATTTGCTAACTTCATAACTTGATACTTATGGCAGGGTTGTGTTCAGGAGATTCCACAGCTAGAAAAGTAAGGGTGTTATAGGTCAGGCCTAAACTGCAATTACTCCATCAGTTGAAGAAGAAGCAGATAGCTGCATTATGGCTTTGTCTAGGGCTATTAACACACTTTTTCATAAGCATTAAAAACTGAAATAAGGAGTTTTTTTCTCCTTTAGTACACAAAGGAGGCAATGGGATATGCTGTGGGCAATACTATTAACAAATATCTTGAGAATGTAAGTCTGGATATATTTGTTCAATTTTGGGCAACTGAAGCGACGCAGAGATGTTTGTAAAAGAAATATAATAGAACATGTCAAATTCCATGCATTTTTGTAAGTGTGTTTCTGATAACTACACTAAAACTATAACTACATTATAAAGTTTTTTTGGACATCATTTGTCAAAAACCAAATTGTGATAACTGGACCATTTTAATGTCATACTCAGGTTTAAATTCTACCTGAACTCACATTTATGTTACCCACAGCCTTAGAAGAAGATAGGCTCATGTACACATGATAAACATCCCAAAATGTGATCTGATTTACATCAACTCCATTGACTTCACCTGGGTAATTAGAGATAAGGGATGGACACAATATATGCATATAAGCTATCCGGGAAAAAGTAATAAAAATTACCACTCGGTATAGCACTATGTTCTTTGGGAGTACGAAAAACAATCAGAAATGTGTGTTCATGCCCCACTTCCATGATCCTGCACCAACAAAGTCAATGGGAGTTTTGCTATTATATCACCAACATTATTGTGTGGGCTGTATTGTCTCTTGAGCTCAGGCAGGGTTTGTGAACACCCTTGAAGTGATGGTAGATGTAGGGCCAGATCCTGTGCTTTTTGTCATCAATGCCGATTTACTATTTCTCTACCTATAAGCTAAGCCATCTTTTAAAAAAGCATTATATAAAAATACTAATGCAGAGCACCTTAAAGCAAAGAGCAAAAGATAGCTGCACTCAGCCATTTTCTTGAAAGGATAAAAAGCTCTAAAGATATATTTAAAGCATCAGGTACAGTATTGATTAAGAGTGAGCAACTTAACTGCTGGTCAGGGGCCAGAGGGAGGAAAAGAGTTGGCTGTCAAGATAGAGATGCTATAGTTATATACTTGTGACGCACACAACCTCCACTGCATGGTAATTTTGATGGTCAGTTTTAGGAAAAAAATGAAGTTTAAGAGCCATCCCACTGGCATGAACCAGAACCATGTAATCCAGGAATAGTGATTTATGCTGAAATACTTAGCTTTGGAAAATAAGGGTAAATGGTAAAAAACAAAAGCAGTGCTCCAAATCATTTCAATGATGGAACCTTCTGCTATTATTTATCTGACAAAATACCTTTTAGTGAACAATATCCTTTTTATCGTGCAGTAAACTATACAATATGTGGTATTATTAAAGATGAAAAATCATTTATTTTTAATCAGTGCACACTGCCTGTTAGAGTCTTGACTTTTGTGGCAGCAAACATCCCGTTTTCATGTAACTGTACTTGGAAGGGCAAAAGGGAACAGAAAAAATATGCTATACAAAGTAATTGGATCACAATAGAATGTGCTTCCAAGTGTGTTTTGCTGTGTCAATAGCTTTAAGGAAGCCTCCCCTTGTAGAATAACATCATATTTAAGAGAATTACTCTTCCCTAACTGAACTCACACTTTTAAAAAAAGAAATAGTCCTTAGGGTACCTTCCTTTGGGATCAATTCCAGCCCCCTTTAAAAATGTAAAACTAATTTCAACTCACTGAAGGAAACCATTTAGTTTATCACTCCTCTTCCAAGATTTTTTCCTATTCAGATTTTTTCCTATCCAAGCAGAACAGAAGTCAAATGTCCACTGAGAAAAAGAGGAAAACAGTAAACACCATGTATTTTGCTAGAAAGAAAACAACATATTTAATGTACATCTGTAGAACTCAAAGCTGTCACATGGAAAAATAGCAGAACAAAAGGACAGGATCTTAATTAACTCTGGAAAAGGATGACACAGAATGCAGGCTTTTAATATGATGCTACTTACTGCAGTCCAGAGGAGGCTCCATTAAAGTATTTGGGTATTTGCCATACTTTATACGGACGAAGCATTCAGTTGGACCAATTTCTAGGTTAAGAACAGCTCTAGTCACTTGTGACAGGATTATATAAAGCCTAAGCAGCCCTGAAACTAGGAAAAATAGATAAATCAGGGTGAAGTTGGGCCAAAGGCAGATTCAAAAGTGTGCACAAGTCAGTGAAATTAAATAACTTTTTCCTAGTTGTTTTTTAAAGATCAGCTTGTCTCTTATGAAATATTTTGAAAAGGATTCAATTTGGCTACAATTCTGGTTTTATATTATATGTTGTACGTTACATGTTTATCTTTGTTTAATAACTAATGACTTTTGAATACGAAATCACAATCCTGGGATCAGATTAATCACAGGACAGGATGTGTTTTTACATTTATTAATAAACTACATTCTTATTTCTTATTTATTTGCAGCTCAATTTTAAGGAATCTTGTCTTTTTATGAATTTGGTAATTAGAACTGTGTGTTAAATATAAGAAATGTAAACAACAAATAAAAATGACAAATTCTGAAAGAAAAAAACATTTGCATCCCACTGAGGGTCTGGAAATTGGCTGAAGCATTCACTTGCTCCTTCTGCATAATCCCCACCTGAGAGAGGGCCAAATCCCTTCTCCTCCCTTAGAGCAGAGCCATTGAAGCTACTGAAAGTACTTGCCTGAGAAAAACAAGAGGGATTTAGCCCATAATGATCTGTTTGCAACATCAATATTTCCCATAGTAATTCATTCAGATGTCCCAAACAGAGGATATTAACTCCAGGTGGAAAGCAGGCAGCTGCAACACATGAACTGTTAATGATGAAAATGTTTTCCTGAAAATGTCCTTCATAAAATGAAAAGGAAGAAAAATACAGAAAATTATACATAAACTCAAATGATTTCTTAATACTACAGAATGCTTTTCAAAGTTTTTCGACAAGGCATCAGCGGCTCTATAAGGATGAATATCTTAGTAGCCTTGTCTATATGATCAATTTATTTACTTTACTAAATATAAAGTTTTGCTTACTTCAAGATGTCCACCATATGTAATCATAATTAAGGGTCTCAGATACCGTAGTTTGTATGCTAACAAAACCTCCATTAAAGTACAGTGAAGATTTGGGTCCTCAAGGATGCAGGAATAGGTTCCCAGTGAAATGGTAAAATGGCAATATTGACAATTGATTTCATTCTGCCCTGCTGTTGGCTTGATTCTATGTTCAGGCGAATTCCCTCAACAACTCTCACTGATTTCAACAAGAGTTGAAGGCACTCAGCATCTCTCAGAAATGAGTGGTGTTTCTGCAAGGCCCTGATTTGGCCAGGTACATAAGCACATTACACATTACTTGCAGTTAGGCATCTCATTGACTTCACTGGAACTATACATATTCATAAAGCTAGACACATGCTTACAGTATCTTGCTGAATCAGAGCCTATCTTTTTAAATACTGTTGAGTTTTATTGCTATTTTTCTATTTCAAAATGGAACAAGACAGATGATTTCTAAGTGGCTCAATACCCTTCATAATGTTCATTTCTAAATATTCCTAGCTATGTTGTTGAACCAAATAATACACTACAGTAGCTATTTACAGCTTTGCACCATATCAGACTGTAAGTGGTACCGTGTAGATTCAAGCATAGGATACAATTATTTAGCAAAAATTATTAAAATGCCTGAATCCAACTTTTCACATACAAAAATATATTTTTATTATTACAACACTGAACAGTTAAGGCCACAACACTTCAGTAACATTCTGATAAGCTCATCAGTTTCAATTACTAAAATTATCAAAAGAAATAAATACCAAAACCATGGTCTTCAAGTCCAAAACCAAGGCAAACAACTTAATTATTTTTTTAAAATCTGTCATCAGTAACAATAAGAAGTCATAATTGTTTTCAAGTATAAATTGCAACATGTGCTTGCAGCCTTTCAAATATATATTCTGACAGCATTACAGTATTACACAAGTAGAGGACTTGGTCTTTCTGCCCTGGTTAGTTGTGGTTTCCTTAGGATTCTCCCTCGTGTGATTTTGGTTTTCGTCTTTCCTGTCATCACCAGATAAATCTGCTTCCTTTCCTTTATCCTTTTCACTTTGGAGTGGCTTTTCAGATTTACCTTCATTGCTGTTATGTACATTTTTCTGACTTGTCAACGACTTTCGCTTAAACAGAGAAAACTAAAATAAAAGATGATATATTACCCCCCTAGACAATTAATAGTGATTTTCAATATGTACAAAAAAGCCTGCACACAAGTTAAAAGTTGCACTCTCAAATGAACTTAGGCCACACAGTTATGTTTGGTAAAATAACAATAAAAAACACACCTTTACAACACATAATATAAACATAAATGTTTCCATGATCTTTTAAAAATGTTAAATGGATAACATTCCTTTGCAGTATTTGTAACCCAAATATTGCCATATTGCCCAAGTGTGTAAGAACCAGAAAGTGAAACTGAGCTTACACTGATGAATAACACAAGTTTGTTTACACAGACCAAACTCAGAAAATTGCAAGAAGTAAACAAACAGGATAAATGATGAAAAATAAATTAAATTTGTAATATTTTTTCAGTTTTAAGAATTAGGGCTCAAAAAATTAATCGCGGTTAAAAAAAATTGCTCTCAATCACAATTTTAATCGCACTGTTAAACAATTGAAATGTATTAAATATTTTTGGATGTTTTTCTACATTTTCAAATATATTGATTTCAATTACAACACAGAATAAAAAGTGCTCAGTGTACAGTGCTCTCTTTATATTATTATTTTTTGATTAAAAATATTTGCTCTGTAAAAAATGATAAACAAAAGAAATAGTATTTTTCAATTCACCGCATACAAGAACTGTAATGCAATCTCTTCATGGTGAAAGTGCAACATATATAGAGAGATTTTTTTTGTTACAGAACTGCACTCAAGAACAAAACCATGTAAAACTTTAGATCCTACAATCCACTCAGTCCTACTTCTTGTTCAGTCAATTGCTAAGACAAACGAGTTTGTTTACCTTTACGGGAGATAATGCTGCCCGCTTCTAATTTACATCACCCGAAAGTGAGAACAGGCGTTCGCATGACACTTTTGTAGCTGGCATTGCAAGGTATTTACGTGCCGGAAATGCTAACATTCGTATGCCCCTTCACACTTCAGCCACCATTCCAGAGGACATGCTTCCATGCTGATGATGCTCGTTAAAAAAATAACGCCTTAATTAAATTTGTGACTGAACTCCTTGAGGGAGAATTGTATGTCTCCTGCTCTGTGTTTTACCCTCATTCTGCCATATATTTCATGTTATAGCAGTCTCGGATGATGACCCAGCACATGCTGTTCGTTTTAAGAACACTTTCATTGCAGATTTGACAACACGCAAAGAAGGTATCAATCTGAGATTTCTAAAGATAGCTACAGCACTCGACCCAAGATTTAAGAATCTGAGAGGGATGAGGTGTGGAGCATGCTTTCAGAAGTCTTAAAAGAGCAACACTCTGATACAGAAACTACAGAACCCAAACCATCAAAAAAGAAAAGGAACCTTCTGCTGGTGGTGTCTGACTCAGATGATGAAAATGAACATGCGTCGGTCCACACTGCTTTGGATCATTATCGAGCAGAACGTGTCATCAGCGTGGATGCAAGTCCTCTGGAATAGTGGTTGAAGCATGAGGAACATATGAATCTTTAGCGCATCTGGCACGTAAATATTTTGCAACACCGGCTATAACACTGCCATGAGAACACTTGTTCTCACTTTCAGGTGACATTGTAAACAAGGAGCATTATCTCCTGAAAATGTAAACAAACTTGTTTGTCTAAGCGACTGGCTGAACAAGAAGTAGGACTGAGTGGACTTGTAGGCTCTAAAGTTTTACATTGTTTTATTTTTGAATCCAGTTATATTTTGTACATAATTCTATACTTGTAAGTTCAACTTTCATGATAAAGAGATTTCACTACAGTACTTGTATTAGGTGAATTGAAAAATACTATTTCTTTTGTTTTTTACCGTGCAAATATTGGTAATAAAAATAAATATAAAGTGAGCACTGTACACTTTGCATTCTGTGTTGTAATTGAAATCAATATATTTGAAAATGTAGGAAACATCCAAAAATATTTAAATAAATGGTATTCTGTTATTGTTTAAAACAGCATGATTAATTGTGATTATTTTTTTTATTAAGAATAAAGCCCTATTAAGAATTTAAAACCAGATCCTGCAAACATATGTTATGAACAAAGGCAAACCATTTAGTTATATGCTTAGTTTTAAGTATGTGTGTAGTCCTAATGAAGTCAATGACAACAGACTTTGAAGTTAATGGGACTACTCATGTGCTTAAAATTAAGCGTGTATTTAAATGAGTTCCAACCCTACAAGGCTCCATGTAAGGTAGTCCCCTCTATAAAGAACTCCATGGATATCCACTCCGTATGTTTTCATCTCAGTAAAACTCAAAGTGGAGAATTATTTCCTTCTTGAGGTACGTTGTATAAGATCAGATAAGAATTATGGGCCTGATCCAACTTTCACTGAAGTCATCAGAAAGACTTCCAATGACTTTAACGGGAGTTGAATCAGATCCTAAATCTGTGATAGACCCCGCACACCCTGAAAAAGATTAGCTCTTAATTATTCAAAGAACAGTCTCATTCAAGTCAATATGAGTAATCATGTAAGTAAGAGTTTGCAGGATCAGGCTCGTCATTTGCACTTTTAAAAAAATGTTAATCTAAAAATCCTAGACAAGTTCTCTAATTTATTCACTGTCAGTTATACAAGAAAGCAATCCTGTATCTGATTTAAACTAGCTGTTGAAATTGATGAAACAACACTACTTCCTTTTGCTTTTTTGCCAGGATATGGAGAGTTGTGTGTGTCAGAAGGTTCAGAGTTCATATGCATGTTCTTTGGGAACTGTATAAAATACTTTGGAAAAGACAGATAGTTATTTAAAAATCTGGGGTTGGAGTAAAGAGGTTTACTTTTCAAGCAGGCAATACTTATCTTTTGACAGTGTTCTATTCTGCTGTTATTCATATTATCTGCATTCATATTAGTTTAGAGAATAGCCTATTTTAAGCTTCAATCAGAGAACAACATAGCCATAGAAAACTTCTTTTAAAACATACAGTACGTTGTATCTATAAGTATTTTTACACTAAGGTGTCTGACAAAGAGATTCCAGTAATAAAAACCACTTAACCTTCTTTTACCGGCACAGAATTGTTTTCAACTTCAACAATACTTCTCCCTCACAGTATCTGACGTATACCCAAAAAGTCAAACCTCCGGGGGTCGGGGAAGGAGGTGAGACTTGGTTGGTTGCTTGGAGCAAAGCAACATTTATTCAAATAAAATTTTAACAGAATGCTTCTTTATACCATTTTTTATGGTGTGATTTCTGGGTTATAATATTATCTTATTTTCTACAGTCTTCTGCTTTGGAGGAGATTTTTGAACATGGGGGATAAAATCCCAGCTCCATTTAAGTCAATGGGTGTTTTTCCATCATTTGAGTTCAGTGGGGTCAGGATTTCACCTGGGTGTTTCCATAGCAATAGATACTGTATGTCAAATGTGTTGGCTACGTCTTCTCAGACTTCTTTACATTTCCAACACTGCAAATAGGACACAGGCCCTTGAAATAGGGGACAGTATTCTCTCTGCACCCTTCAAACCATGTTTGTCTTCCTTCTTTGGTCTCTTAGCTCTTTTCCCTTTGCTTGTCCTTTCCCCTACAGAGTGTGTCTACACAGCCCGTGGCAGTCAGAGTCCCAGGCTGGGGTCCAGACATTCTGGCTTATGCTACTGCACTAAACACAGCTGTGTAGACAGCCCTTTGAAGTTATGCCTTGGGTTGGAGCATGGGCCCCCTCCCTAGGCTTCAGAGCTCAAGATCCAGCCTAAGCTGCAACTTCAAGCACAGTCTACACAGCTATTTTTAGCGCAGTAGCACGAGCCCTGTAAGTCCGAATCTATTGAACCCGGGTTGGGAGGCTCACATGTAGACGTACCCAGAAGTTCTTCACCAGTCGTACTGTGCTGAACCCCCACCTCCACCCTGAGTATTCCTAAGGCTGTTCACATGCCATCAGGTCCACTCTTCCTCTGATTAGCCTCTGGTTCACTCCTGGCTCTACTAAAAATATGGTCACAGTAGGGAATAACCAAAGGAAGAGGGAAAACCTGGTGTAAAAGCAGCATAAACCACTACCACACTATGGGACATATAGAAATATTACAAGATGGTATGACACAAAAAAGTAAATATCTAAACAAGTGAGATGTACAGCAAATGTAGGATACTTAAGAGATAAGCCTGCCATCAGTAGTCCAAGTTTGGATATTTCCCCTGTCTCAACCTCTTGCCTTGCTTCCATTATGGTGCCGTGGCTCATAATGCTTTCACATGATGTCTTATCCTCTCTATCTGCATATTGGAGTCAATGGAATCACTCATGCAATAAGTTACTGTTGAATGTGAGTAAGGTTCTCAGGCCCTCTGCAATTCCAAGAATGATCCACAATAATGTATACTCTTCAACAGTAGCCGGCACATACAAAGGGATGTTCACTGGGGCTTTTCAGTCAGCTATGAAGATGGGGCTCACTTGTGTGGACAAGGATCAAAAATTTCAGTAACTGCTCACCACTATTGTTATTATTTTATTATTAGTCATATTACACAGAACTGAAAACTCAGGTGGTTTACCTTTTTAGTCCTTCCAAGTATTCCTCCAGATATTCTATCATCACCACTTTCTGAAATTGCCCTTGAAGAACTGTTCTCAGGATGAGTGTCGGGGGTATTTTCTCTCTCTAAAACAACACAAAACATTATATTAATCTTTTTTTCACAGCTGCAAAAAGAGATCTGTGCTTTTAATTATTTTTAACACTCAGACACACAAATTAGTTCTGCATCTAAAATGGAACAGACAGAATAAAATATTCAGTTCAACTTGATGCCCAGCCAAACCTGAACAATTCTGTTTTAATTTTTCTCATTTCTATTTATATCTGTTTACCATACCCCAGATGTTTGATTTTCAAAAGCAAAATTAATACTGAGGGCATTGGCAAATATGTAAAATATTTTGACTAATCCACCTACAACTGCGTATGGTTAACAGAAGACAGAGTGTATTGCACATGAATTTAGAAAACATATCCTAACCAGCAGAGAGTGACTCCTAGTGCCAGAGTTGTATTTCAGCATGAGTCTTTGTTTTGTAGCAACAATACAGAAAGGGATAGAATTCATCTCGATTTTCATATGTCCAAATTACCCTCTAATGCCAGCCTTAATGATATAAATCCTCCTGCTAGAATCAAAGAACCCCAGATTTATTGGGGGTTGGGAAAATATTTAAAGATCTGTTCTGGGCTACCTATTGTCCACAATATTGGACAGAGATGCCCCAGCTTCTTTGTAATTAGATGGAATGATGTGTTACTTTATGATGCATCATTGATTTCCATCAAGGCAGTAATCATTTTTTATTCCAGAAGTTGAAAAAAAAAAAGGTTCGCCTTTTTGCATTCCAACATGTACATTCCCGTATCTTTCCGAAGGACAGCATAATCTTCCCTGATGTTCTCAAACCTGTAAGAAAGCTTTAGGCTCACTATAGCAACGTTGCTGCATACTATCCAACAATTCCAAATTTCATCTGAGATGATTATCCCTTTCAGTGGTGATGGTAGGAAAATAGATTCCTACTTACAGTGGGCTACATCCAAGTGGTGAAAAGGCTTATGAATTGGCCTTTTTGCTCAATGCCATGCAATGCTAGGGGCTGGTGATGAAGGGGCGGGTGGCCTGGTTACAATAAGGTGCAGGAAAAGTGCACCTGGATTGCTGCAGCATTGTCTGCCCCTTTCTTGAAGACGTAGGGTGAAATCCTGGCCCCACTGAAGTCAATGGGAGTTTTGCCATTGACTTCAATGGGGCTAGGATTTCACCTGATTAGGTATACCAATTAAGTCAGTTTCTTGGTTTATTAACGTCTGCCAGGAAGGTGAGAACAGCACACGCACCAAGAACTTAAAGGAGTGTGCCCTGGAGCCTGAGAACTAGCTGGAAGGGGAGCCTGATGATTCAAAGATGATGCTAAGCAATCAGGAAATAAGGATCCCTCCACACAAGGTATCGTGCTTTAGTTGATATTTTATTTTATCCTTGTCCACTGTGTATGAATAGGGAAGGATAGGGTTACTTTGAGCCTGGGACATCTGTACCCCAAAGCAACACCCTAGCACCCCCTATCTACCATGGTGATAGAATTATGAGGTGTTTTACACAAAGTATGCCTTGTGGGGCATCATTTTAAAAGTCCTGATCTGCTGAGCATTAATATCCTGTTGCATTGTTTGTGCTATCATTGTATGTGAAGTTATGAAGTTTACTATGTATGTGCTACTAAAATATGTTGTGAGGTTGGGAACACCCACAAGCAGCCTTTCAGGTACAACAATGAAGAAGCCAGATGGTGTTGATGGTCCATTAAGGGGAATACATGTACTTTTAAGGATTACCCCAGGAACGATACAATGGAACCTCACTGAGATGGCATATACACAATGGAGACTGTTTGACTCCCATCACAGCAAAGGATCTTTCCAGTAAGCTGGAAGAAGCTATAAAAGGGGGAAGCGACATCATCATTTGGCTTCATTCCCCCACAACTCAACACCTGGAAGGAGGTCGGGAGGAAAAAGACTTTGAATGGGGGAGGGTTGTCCCAGGCTGGAAAGGCGTTTCAACCTATGTATGGAAGATCTGTAAACTGCTTGTACTATCAGGGTGAGACACTGCTGGAAATCCTGTCTAGTTAATAGAACTCAGATTGCAAATTTGTTTTATTTCTTAGATAACCAACTTTGATCTGTACAGTATTACTTATAATCACTTAAAATCTATCTTTCTGTGGTTAATAAATCTGTTTGATAGTTTTTACCTAAACAGTGTGTTGTTTGAAGCGTAAAGGGAAATTTGCTCAGGAACAGGTGTGTTGTCCTCTCCACATTGAGGGACTGGGTAATAAACTTACACTGGTCAGGCTTCTGACCAGAGCAAGACGGTACAACTCTGGGGTCCTAAGCTGAGGAGCTGGGGGGAATTGGCTGGAGCCTCTCTATTGTGAGTGGCTGGTGAAAGCATTCATGTAACTCACCTGTATGTGTCCCTGCCTGTGAATGTTTGTGTGAGTGCAGGACCTGGAGAGGTTTGCAGCTTGTCACATAATCACAGTGTGAGAGGGAGCCCACGTTGGTAAGACAGAGAGCTCAGCGGTACCCCACTTCCAGGTTGTACCTCGGGGAACCTGTCACATTATACTCGTGGACTCTCTCTTCACTACTATTGTAAAGTGGAGGTGGGCACCACTGCAAGTGGAATTTCCCAGAATTCCCAGAGATGGGCAAAATGTTGACTGGAACTGTAATTTTCCCGCTGTTGCTTTTTTCCAGCTGAACAATTACAACAATGCAGCAACCCCCCAGTCCTAACTGCTATCTCTGCAATCAGTTCCCTGTAGTTGGCTCAGGACACTGCACAACTAATAGATTTGGCTTCAATAATGTCTCTCTTGCAGATTTAAAATTGGCAGAGTTTAGTTACTATTTCAGCAGACAGTAGGAGTGGAATAACTCCCCTCAGATAAGGAAACTGATGGTATGCTAGACTTATGAGTGCAAAAGCATACAGGGGCTTTTGAAAAATTTTACTCTTGAAAGTGGAACTTAGGTTCCTAGGTCATTCAGGTGCTTTTGAAAATGTTACCCATAATCTTTTCAAGAATTTTGAAAAAACATTTTAATTAATCCATGACTGGCAGCCTGTCTTTTTCCCTAGTGTGGTAATGAAGGCAGGCAGCTAATCAGACCCTACACTTTTCATAACCATACAGATTTCATTTCTTCCTTTGTTTCTGAGTATTCCCCATACAGTTTCATGCATACTAGTTACTAGAAGGAAACCTAAAGAAGGCAGGGTGCGAAGCTCTCTAGTGCTCCCTCAGCTAAGGGGGTGAAGAGAAGATATCTGTCTGTCTGACACAGATTCCCCACAAGGTGAGGCAAGGAAACACATGGCAACAAGTTTCCTGTGCCCAAACAGTCAGCACAGATACCGGCCACTACAATCAGTTTGCCACCTGTGAGCTAGAACTTCAATGATTTCTCCTTTAATGGTCTGCCTGTGGCAACAAGCATGTAAAAAAATACAGAATATTCCTGCAAGGAGCATGCCACCATGATAAGCTTCCCCTACTACACACCCGAAAATATCTTGGGGAAAAAAAGATTTCTTTCTTGGAGGCAAATAAAACTGGTAACTTTGCTGTGTTGCTGGCTTTACAGCATTGCTTTTTATGTCTTACAAAGTGTCTGCATCATTTAACATTTATATAACCTACATACATATATAAATGTTGCCAGGTAAAATGTGTAGTTTGTATTTAGAAGAGCTGTAATGGTTAGATTCTGAATGGAAGGTTTTTGTACCTTGCTGAAGTATTTTCTCTTCTTGAGGGGTCTTCTCTTCCTATAAATAATACATAAAATAATTAAATCTGTATACTGTACTTTCAAAGCCTTTAAAAAACTATATTTAACTGCAGCGTGTGAAATTCATTGTATTTTTTTTAATAATGCATTATTATATTAGTATAATTCCAGAAAAAATATAGTACCATTGTAGGTCTTACTTAATTGGTAAAAGATGAAATAAGATTAAAAAAATAACATGCCTGTTCATCTAAGTAGCTAATCTTAAAAAAATAGGAAATATATTTATTTAGACAAAGCATTCCAGAATATTTCTTTTGGATACAAAATAAAATAACTGAATTATAACTGCACCCCTATTGCTATTAAAACCACATACGAATGAAAAACAAATTTGGACTCAAACATAGAGGGTAAGTTTTCAATGCTGAGCGCAGGAATTTAACAGCATGCATGTTATAAGGAATTATACAGTTAATTCCTTCACCGTACAACAATTTAAAAGAAGTGCTTCACCTCTGGAGTTTCTGAAGTGGTGTTATTGCTTCTTTCTCCCTCAGGTGTTTTACTGTCATGTTCCTCTTTTTCATGCACTTTCCCATCATCATTGCTGCCTCCCTCCTCTTCCTCCTCCTCTTCTTTGTCTGTTATTTCTTCTTCTTCTTCTTCTTCATTATCAGTCTCTTCATCTTCAGAAGTTTTTTGATCCTGTGACAAAATGGAAAAAATAAAAAAAATTTAAAACAATGTTCTGCAGCACTAGCAACCAATACTCTACAACAGCTCTACGCCTCATATTGGAATGGATTCGGATACTCTGGCCCTAACTGTTCCCTTCACAGGCAGCTGAAAAGATGAGAAGACAAAAGCATTTTATTTCAGAGTACTATGAGTCCTTATTTAGGCTCTGACCTTGGAGTCTTATTTTAATACCTGCTTTAAGTACAAAACTCAACTCAGCCTTAATTCTGGAGCTGTGGCCAGAAATAGCCTTTTTCTGACGAACAACATGTCCCCTTACAACAGAAAAACAATGAATGCAAATGCTTTTTTGGAAATCCTGGATAATTCTTTTTATTTGATATCTGTGTGAATAATGAAATCGGTAATGCTTCCAACACTTTAAGAAAAGGAACTTGTTAAATACCAGGTTTATTTTTCAGAGAGTTGATTCAAATACTAAAGTCACAGCAAATGGAATGCTCTGGTTCCCTATAGACGCTATCATTTACAGCATGTTTGATCTCAACCCAGTATAGCACCTTACTATATCTAGACTTTTCTACAAATACCGTTTTTATTTTTGCGATAACCATGGAGTATTATGAAAAACCAATTTGCATCAAAGAACATGTCTCTGTGAAAATTGTTACAAAGAAAACAAAGAGTAAATTGTATGATTTACATGACATCATTTAGTCCAATCACCTTTGCTGTGCTAGTTATACAGTTTTGGTAACATGAAATGTTACTTTTTTTTTTTTTTAAACAGAAACATTGTCTCTCCTATTGCAAATCTACAATGAACATATAACAGCCTAATCTAAAATTCTAACTTGGACTTCTAATGACAGACAAATCAGCGGAGCTCTGCTCTCAGTTTATCATTTCACCAGAGAACATAGATGGTATTACATCCTTGCACTGTATGGTTGTTTAGCTACCCATTGTTATAGTACATTTAGATATTCCAAGCAACATTTCACAGAAACATTCATTGAGCTATTGAACATAACACAACGATCCCAGTTGTAACTTAAATCAGTGGTTTCCAGCTTTTATGATTTTTTTTTGATGCCCTGTTTTGATTGGTTGGTGGATGGGCACTCCTCACCTGGTAGCCCCTCACTTCATGCTCAGGCATAGTTGCTGTCTCTCCTATTTTCTGTCCATTCTCTCTGTTTTTTTCCTCCTCTCCTTTTTGGCTACACTCTCATAGTAGCTCACTGTGGATACTTGCTGCTCAGGGCAAAGGCCATTCATCGGTGGTTCTGTGGGGCTGGGGCATGGGATCTTGCAGCCATGCTGTATATCATGAAGGTGGACACAAATGCTTGTGCTGATGAGCGCCTTCTTGGATGAGTTGCTGTTATGAGCAGGTGTATTTGAGGCTGCTGCAGGAGCAGAAAGGGTAGGTAGATTTCAGGAAGCTGCCCACCACTTTACCCACAGCAGCATGTTTGCAGAGAGCAATCAGAGTGGATCCAACTTCATGCAGCTTTCCACACTTCCACTGCTTCACTTTTCATGGACTAGTCTAGTGCCCTCCCACCCCCAGAGACTTGTCCCCAGGCTGAAAACACTACTTTCCATACACACATGCAGCTTGCACTGAAGTCAATGCATGCATATGTATCTAAGGGCAGAATCAGGCCAGCTCCCTTTGAACAATAATAAAATCCTAAGCTTGGATATGCCAAGTTTACATGTTATCTAATTGCATGTTTCACTATTTCAAAACAGAGAAAATGTAAGTTTCTAGCAGCATAATTCCGCCTTTTTTAGAGTGGTGGTGTTCATAACCTGACAGAGCTTGTCAACTTAATGTCTATGGCCAGACTGTGCCCCCATGATCCATACATGGCTCTCCCCACTTTCACATTGAGGGGGTGGGAGGTGCAGGAGTCACTTCTGTAGCAGCAACCCCCTCACTCTCTACACCCTGCAGATGGCACTTTGCCTTCTGGGCAGGGAGAGAATATAGGGTGGAAGCTGGACTGTATGGACACACATCATCCCCACACTGATCCCACAGAGATTAGCTGGAAAGAGAAATGCAGCTTGGGAGTGTATTAACTTTCCTACTGAACCCCATCTCTGTTGGGGAATGAAATTTGAGCAGTGGTCATGGGCAGTCACGGCCAGGAGGAATCCTTGGTAGTACAGCAGTATGGTAAGTGTACTACTAGGAAGACAGGGGAAAGGCAGGGGAGCTTCTGCTGATGTGGATGGACCTGACCTTTGGGGATCCATGGAATTTGTAATGGGCACTGCAGCTCACTCTGCCAACATAAAATCTGCACTGAGATTCCCTCCCCGTTTGCTCCCTCCAACCGATTTTCCAACTGCAGTTTTATTTAGTTCTATAAGAACAGTCTTCATTGCAGGCAATGAAAAAACATCCCCATACGCAACCTTGAAAAAAGAAAAAGGGAATCACAAGCAACCCAAGTGATTTGCTATAGTTCATCTATCCATCAAGTACTGTGAAAGCCATTGCCCACAGATGCACTACTTTGTTTTGCCTACATTATAATAGAATCATAGATGATTAGGGTTGGAAGAGACCTCAGGAGGTCATCTAGTCCGACCCCCTGCTCAAAGCAGGACCAGCCCCAAGTAATATTTTATATTACTATTGGGTCTTGCAAACTCGCATATCATTGTCAGGTTTCCTGGCAGCAAGCTGTGCAGATTGCAAATGGAGAGCCAACTGTGAATTCCACAGGGGCCTTACATAGTGGGCAGTCATCAGTTTGAGAATGTTGACAAACTACCAGCAAGAATCATGCCTGCTGGCTTTTGGAACAAATATGAGAAGAGTGACAAGAGGTTTCAGAAGGGTATGATTTTGTTGTTGAATTTTTTGTTTTTACTGAGGAACACATTAATCATCAAGTTACAAATAACAGTCTCTGACACACCAGCTTAATTTCTATATCATTATTTATTCAAGCATCTATAAAGCAATGGAAAAAAATACTAAGGGTTCAGCAAAAGCTGCCTTTTTCAGGCCAGCTCTGGGGTGGGGGGGAAGAATTTACAGATAAAATACTGGAAATGTTTTCATCTCACAGTTCTGTAAAATTGGTGTGTTATTTATCTTTAGTATGGTACACATGCAGGCCTGGATCTTCAAGTGATTCTACATTGCATAAGGTGATTGTACTCCAGTGCATATGTGAGAGGAGATTACACATATGCACAAGACTGGATGGCTTTCTAAAAGGTATGCTCCACCTCAACCAGATGTTATGGACTTGATGCAGAACTTAATGGGTGAAATTCCATGTCTTGTGTGGAAGGTACGACTTGATGGTCATAATGGTCCCTTTTGGCCTTAAAAATCTATGAATCTATACATCAGTAAGGGTGTAATACATCACTGTGCAATGGGACAGCAAAAGGCCTATGCAGCACTTAAGTCCCACTTTAGTGCTATTTTGAGTAATTAAGTGGTTCATAGGTCTTGTGCTGGTCCATTTCACAAGGGTAAATTTCATCCCATACACCTAGTCCTCTCCAAACTGCATAGAAGATTAAAGTCCTGATAGGCCTACTCCCTTGGTCTTCAGAGCACAAAGTTTAAAAAAAAAGGAGGGTGGTCTTAGGTGGAAAATGGGCATGTCTCAGGAGTTACTGCATTAAGTGTGTGTGACCCACCAACCTCTTAATGCCAACTAGCAAGAGGGTGCACAAGGGTTAGAGGGATCTCTTGGGTCTGGCATGTACATTCTAGTTCACCAAAGTGTGTCATGTGACATCTCAAATAAAAGTCAGTGTCACACTGATCATCAATATAATTGCAAAATGCATGTGCGGATGTTGTGTAAGAAATCATCTACGCACTCAGAAAATTATGTTCTTAAACTCTGTGTCTAGGGACTGGCCACCAGCAAAGGTGAAAAACAAGTTTGCTGTCAGACAAGCAAAGTTTATCTAGGTAGCTGTTTACATGTAAATTAAGTATTATATAGTTCAGAATGGGTCCCCTTCCACCAGTCTGAACAGAATGCTAATGGAAGATTGTAAGAACTTCAAAGAAAGACAAGCAACAAGAAGAAGCAAACAGCTGGGAACAGAACCCTATCTTGAAGTGCACATCAAAGGTTGTGGGACTCTAAAGTACAAAAAAAGACCCTATAATCCTTCATCTAGGAAATAAACAGACAGCACGTTCTCTTAATGAAAGAGAGGCTTCAAATAAGCTTGGATGAAAATGTTGGATAGAAACTGCGGGTGAGATAGCTTCTTTGGACAGGAGGTAAACCTGTTAGTTAAGGTTCGTCTCCAGGAAGCATGTTATGATTTTGTTTTATATGTAACTGTTTGTTTCCAATGTTCTTACTTGCTACCACTTGAATCTTTGTTCTTTGACAATAAACTTATCCTTGTTTTCATACTGAATATGTCAAAGTGCTGTGGTGTTAAACAAAGTGGTTGAGTTGAATCTTATGAGCTGCTGCATACTGTTCCTTTGCGAACAGTGGGCCAGGTAATACTGTGAGTGTCCAGTGGACAAGAGGCTGGACACTACCAGGAATGCTCGGAGAGCTCGGGAGTTGATGTGTGCCTTTCGCTAACCTGTCCAGAGAGAGCGAGAGAGAGAGCACTGCAGAAGCCACCACAGGCTGGTGGTTTCAGGGAGCTGAGCCACAGCTAGGGTGACCAGACAGCAAGTGTGAAAAATCAGGACATGGGGTGGGGAGTAATAGGAGCCGATATAAGAAAAAGACCCCAAAATCAGGACTGTCCCTATAAAATCGGGACATCTGGTCACCCTAGCCCCAGCAGGCACAGACAAGATGCCCACATGCTAAGGTGCCTCAAAACCCTGGGCACCCCTGGGGAGTGTCACAGTGTGATCCTCAGCACGCAAACGGGAAAATTCTGTCTTACCTCTGAATTTTCATTCTAGGACACTCCGTGTCAGATAGATTTCACACTGTTCCCAGTCTCAATGGAAACCAGAGGCAGGCCAGACCTTG